AGTTAACTTCTGAGGCCATCACAGGGCAGTTGTGGAGCTGTTTTGCAAAGAAGAACAGGCAAGGATTTCAGTCTCTAGATGTGCAAAGCTGGTAGAGACATACCCTAAAAGACTGGCAGCTGCAATTGCAGCAAAAGGTGGTTCTACAAAGTATTGACTCAGGGGGCTGAATAATTACACACACCCCACTTTTCAGTTATTTATTTGTAAAAAAATGTTTGGAATCATGTATGATTTTTGTTCCACTTCTCACGTGTACACCACTTTGTGTTGGTCTTTCACGTGGAATTCCAATAAAATTGATTCATGTTTGTGGCTGTAATGTGACAAAATGTGGAAAAGTTCAAGGGGGCCGAATGCTTTTGCAAGCCACTGTATACAGGCCTTTAGATTCATGTTTGAGCAGTGTCATTTGGCTCAACCAGTAAGTAGCTAGAAGAACTGGTAAGAGCCATTAATAGATGTAATACTTATTTAAAAGTTTTAAACAAAGGGAATGTCCAACGGTTAGACTTTTGTATGCACTGTATTTTATTTCTACAAATTAGCAAAAGCAAAGCAAAATCAATATAATATAAAATAATGTTTTATCTTAACCTAACTGATCTGTAGGACATGTACCTGAACGCTGATGCTGTGACATTATCTTAATTTGAGTGGCTGAAGATTAAATCTCATTCATCTCTGTGGAAAACTGACCTTCAGATATGAGACGGACCTCAGTGGGTACAAAACTATAATTCTTCAAACCTACAGACTGAAAGAGATTCATATTTGTAATATGAAATATGATATAAAAACAATGATATATCAAATGAACAGCAGAATTTAGAAGAGAATAAAGATTATACAGGTATTGAAAATCAGGCTAAAATATCTACTAATTTTTAAACACAAGAAACGAAAACTTTAATATTCACTTATTAATGTCCGTATTGTTTCTGCTGTTTCCTGCTTTTTCTTATTTGTATCACATTTTATTTAGACTGTTTCTGTTTGTCCTGATCTTCTGTTTCAGAATCAGGTTCTTTGACTTTCAATTGCTCCAATGTTTTCCACACCTGTTCTTATCTTCTGCTGTTTACGTTTTGTTTAATTGTGTCAAACCTGTTCTCAAATGCATCAAGGATTTCTTCTGTACCTTGAATCACAATGATTCCACTGTCAAATATAGACACAGTGCCTCCATCAAAGAGCTCAAGTTTGAATTTCTTGTTTTTTTCCATTCGAATAGCGTTGGATTGAGGGTAAGCTTCTTCTATTGCAGCCCTGTAGTGTGCTCCAGATTTGGTGAAGAAAATGAGGTTGCATCTTATACCAGTTTGTTTTCTGTAATATGTTATGCATCATTGTAAAACAATACATATATAATAATATATCTAACAAACGGCAGGATTTAAAAGAGAATAAAGATTATAAAAATATTGCAAGTCAGACTTAAATATCTAATAATTTTTAAACACAAGGAGCAAAAACTTTAATATTCACTTACTAATAGTTCAAATGTCCATATTGTTTCTGCTGTTTCCTGTTTTTTTCTTGTTGTATCACATTTCATTTAGACTGTTTCTGTTTGTCTCGTCCTTCTGTTTCAGAATCAGATTCTTCAACTTTCATTTGCTGTAATGTTTTCATCATCTGTTCTTCTTTTCTTGTGTCTACATGTTGTTTCATTTTGTTAAACATTTTCTCAAATGCATCAAGGTTTTCTTCTGTACCTTGAATCTAAATCTTTCCACTGGGAAATATGGACACAGAGAGTTCAAGTTTGAGTTTGTTGTCCATTTGAATATCCTTCAATGCTTCTTCTATTGCAGCCCTGTAGTGTGTTCCAGAGTGGGTGAAGAAAATGAGGTTACATCTTATACCAGTTTGATATGTGTCTTCATAGAGAATCTCTGCGTTTTTCCCATCAGAGTTTCACGTTTGAATATTTTCTTTTCCTCATCGTCCATTCCTTTAGGTTAGTCGAAACGACGAGCTGTCATCTAAAAAACATAAAACAATTATTATTTTTATGCTGATAAACTATTTAATAAATTCAGCACTTATAGATGTGATGTGGTGATATAAATTTACCTTCGATGAAGTAATCAAAAGCTTTTATAATAAGTAAAGACAATTGTCTCCGCTGTGGCAGCACAGATGTAAATCCTTCCAAATGTCTTCTGTGCTCTGAGTGTACAATGTCCGTCTTCTTTTCAGATCTTTTAAATATCTCAAAAAGTGACAGAAAAAGGCAGGAATGTGTTACCCACACAGGGGTCAATCAGTCTCTTGTATAGTTTTTCCAGAGACTCTGGAGTCTCTCCAGTTTTTGGGCTGTTTTTGTTAGGACAGTTTGACACACACAAACACAACACACACAGACACTCACACTTTCCGTCCTATTGGAACATTCAGTGCTTTCCTGTATTACACAACATGCCTGAACAGTGCTCTACTGCACTTCCTTTTTTCTATCAGATCATGTTTAAGTACTTTCTATTCTATTCTATTCTATTCTATCTAGTCTTATTTATAACATTGATTAGGTTTATATCACATGATGAATGAATGCATGAATGAAAATGTCTGGAGACAAGTTTTGTTTTACCCTTTAATCCTTGAACAACAGTAAGTTAAGATAATTGTCTCCGCTGCTCTCCTAAGGCGTGGCAGCTCAGATGCAAATCCTTCCAAATGTCTTCTGTACACCCAGAGTACAGAAGGCACCTAAAAGGCAGGAATGTGTTACCCACACAGGGGTACACGGTGATGCCAGTAAAGCAGTTTCAGAGTTTCTCCAGAGTCTCCGGGCTGTTGTTTGTTATTACAGTTTGACACACACAGTCAGTATAAGTTACAAACGAAATTAAAAAATTACAAAGTCATTGCTCTCATCTAATAAAATGTCCAGCTCAAAAAAACTCTATTATGATTTAGTTTGCTTTTTGTATTAAATTTGATGATGAGATTTACTTTATTTGTTGGCCTTATGAAGTTGCTGCCAAGTTTGAGTTTGTTGGCCATTTGTGTAGGTTTGGATTTGGGGTGAACTTTTCTATAGCAGCTCTGCAGCTGTCTCCAAAACAAAAACGTTTGGATTTTCATTCATAGCTTCAGTTTGAGTCATTTCCTTTCCACATCTGTTGTTGCTTTTGGGTAGTCAAAACAATGACCAGACATCTAAAAGTAAAGCATAAAACAAAATCATTGTTTATATGAAATTTTATGCAACTGATACATGCTTACATGTGTGTGTGTGTGTGTGTGTGTGTGTGTGTGTGTGTGTGTGTGTGTGTGTGTGTGTGTGTGTGTGTGTGATGTGGGGAAGTACCTGGTGTTTTTTTCTTGCACAGGCAAATTCAGGCTCTAGAGTCCCGCTCATGATTCTTTGACGTCACCACCCAATAGAATTCATTGTAAGTTTCACTTGTTATTGGTACAAAATAAATTGAACTTTAACTGTTTTTTGTGTCAGAAAATGTTTCAGGTTGTTTCAGTTCATGCTGAGAATAAAGAAAAACTTTACTAAACTCTAAGCTTTTACAGAAAACAGTTTAGTTGTAACTTTCAGCCTTTCCTGTTGTTTCATCTTATATAAAGCTTCTCCCCAACAAACCATCCTACTTTGGCAAAACGTCCTACCATAAGTATGCACATTTCTGCTGTCACAGAGTAATTCCAGCACAAATGTAAGTAGGTATGACGGTTTGCCACTTAACTTTACCCATCAGAGTACGCTTGTAGCTCATATTCATAAAGCCAGGACGGTTTGGCACTTAATTTTACCCATCAGAGTATGTTTCTAGCTCTTATTAACAAAGGTAGGATGATTTGTCACTTAATTTTGTGTCGTGCGCATGCGCAGAAACAACGGGTAGGATGGATTCCCAGAACACCGTATCCTAAAATTAAAAAAATATATTATTTGAATAGTATTGTGTCTTTGTTTGGTTTAAGAAATTAGAAGATGTCAAGAAATTTATTCTAAAAGACATTTCTTCAGCTGAGAGTCTGAAAGGTAGAAACACACTGTAGTTTTTACTTGCAAGGGCGGTCACAGAGCGCTCACACAAGAGTGGGGGCCCTGTGATGTGCACGCTCTGTTCTTGCACTTGTCTTTATTCAGATACAAAAATAATACAACAGTGAATACGTCTATTCATAGACAGAGGAATGTTAGTGCGTATGTATGTGCGTATGCATGTGTATGTGTGTGTATTGTGAGAATCTGAAGGACGCGGCCCCTCTTCTTGTTAGGGAGCGCAGATAAAAGTGTCCAGCTCTCCTCTTCCTGGTAGGAGTGAAACTGCTTGTTCAGCTATTATCGCTGTGGGAAAGAATTTATAAAACAGAAACAAGTCTTGTAGTGGACAACAGTCTAAGTCATAAAAAGGTCATCATGCAGTATTCTATCACATGTAAACTTATATCATTAAAAGCTTATACTGACTACTAAGTACAATTTTCCATTGACAGAAGACAACCAGTCAAAAAGCCACTGCTCTTAGTCCAGCCTCTAAACTGCTGTCATTATAATTTAATTTTATTGGTTGTTTTGAAATTTCATTATATGGAAGCTCCTTTTCCATTAAGTCAACATGTATCCCTCATATACAAAAAATTTCGAGAGAAGGATGTTGGAGCTAAAACACTCTGAAACCTGCACTTTTAACCCTCGCAGATTACTTATAACAAGTATGACTGAAAATAAGGAAAAGAAGGAAATGTTTTTTTTTAAACGTTTTAATTTCCAAATTTATTTTGAACAGGTGCAGTGAAGCAAACAAAAAGTAAAAATTTCCAAGCACAGTAAATCAAATGTTTACACATATTATCTTGTCAATTCAAAGAAAAAACAAAAAAAAAACAACACACAAAACTGCAAGCATGCTTGACAACAAACAGCAGTTCTGATTTACACTCTACAGATAAGGTTTGATGACATAATATTTCATTATATGTGAGCTGTGGAAGGGTGGTGCTTTTTAGAGGCAAATCACGACAACAGTTGCTTCAGGACAATTTATATTGTAAGGTGAAGACCTTGCAATGACACAGAGAAAACCCCAACAATCACATGACAACCAATGAGCAAGGTTGTAGTATTTTCGTTGTTACTTTTTTAATGTCAACTCTTTCATTTTTTCATTTAGGTCTTCTGTTTTTTGATCTTCTTGCTTTACGTTAATTTTGACTTTTTCTCTGAACCATGTGAGAAATTCACCCCTTTTCTCATTTGAAACATGTATCACACATTCTCCATTGCTGTGTAACATTATGGTGCTTTTGTCTGTGTCATATTTGTAAGTGATTATTTTTTCAGTTTCATCACCAAACTCCTCTTTTATCCAGTTTCTCCATTTTTCTGGATCTTTAGTATAAAACTGGTATTTATCATCTCTCGATTTTCTTTGATTTACAAACAGCTGTTCAGGTCTGCGCGCTCTTTCTTCCTCTCTGAATTTCTTTTTTTCACGGTCTGTTGCGCTTTTATTGGGATAGTCATATTGTTGAGGAGTCATCTAAAAGAAAAGATAAAAATTGCATGAGCACATTTATTTTACGCCATATCCTCAGAAATCTTGTATTCAGTGCTCACAGTTCCACTGGTGTTTCTTGTGTTTTCTGCCATTTCTTTGAATCAGTTAACTTGGTTTGAAGAAGAGTCGACTGATCCCACAGCGGCTTCCTGAGTGCAAAGGCAAACCTTAATCATTTGTACCAGATATCATATGTTCTGTTATTCAATCTAAGCTGCACGCAAGTCATAAAAACCATTGCCAAAACAAACAAACAAAACATGAATGAATAACAGTAAATTACCTGAGCTTGCACATCCTGGTGTCTTAAAGTCTAAATAAATCTGTTTCCAATTAAAATTGTGCTGGTTGAAAAGCTAGTATTAATAATTTGTTTTCCAACCCTGTTTACCTTTTCCCTCATAATGATGCCCGTGGTTACACATTTACTGTTTTCAGGTGTTCCCATGGTAAACTTTCAAATTCAGGTTTTTTTTAATCCTCTATTATTTTTAGGTTATGACGTCATTAAAGTGTTTCTGAGTATAAAATAAACAAACGGAGAGTTAAAGACATATAAAAGGATCTGTTACTTACTCAGTCTACTGCTTCAGGCAGAGTCTGTGATTTTGCTGTTTCTCGAGCGTAGTCCAAGAGAAAAGACCTGCTGACGGCTTCTTTTCCCCTTTTATACTTTCTCCCTTTTTTTTATTTATTTAATTTTTACAAACAGCCAATCATAGAGCAGAATCAGTGTTCACCAGGGACTGCAAATAAATACAAAGAAATGTGTTTCTGTAAAACAAGTTAATCTTCACCTTCATACAGTTTAACCAAACACACACACACACATTAAAGTTTATTGAGTATTTTTTGCCTGCTAGCTGTAGCATGTTTAATACTAGAGGAGGTTGCCATGGTGAAGTGGGAGGAGTTTTCTTCATATTACATTGAGATGTTTGCGCCGTACAGGGTGTAAGATGACCTGAGGGATGGACTGAAGAGCCAAAAAGGAAGTTTAAACCACCATCCTCAACTGTTTGGACCAATCATGTTAGCATTCTGTTTTTATGACACATCAAAGTATTTACTGCCGGGATGTGGTGCTCTTTTCTTCGTTTGGGTCTCCTGAGCAAAGGAAGAGACATGGAGTCGTTTTGAATCAATAAAAGCAACCAGGCAGTGTGAGCACTGCTGCTAGATAGACTTATTCTGCTGTACTTTAGTACTTAAAACCCTTTGTACATCGTGCCTCATCTACCCTGATTCACATAATCACTTTTTTTTCAATGCATAAGCGCTTTCTATCTAAAATTCACACACATTCTCTCTACAATATATCAGAGAGCAACTTGGAGTTTATTGCTTGCCCATGGTGTTCATTAGGTGCACACTCATTGTTAGGTTCTATTCAATGATGTGAATAAGGGTGGCATGTTGGTGCAGTGCTTAGCAGTGTCCCTTCACAGGAATGTGGAATTAAGTGAATGTGGCTGTAGGATAAAATGCTTTGGATGGTTACCAGGATGAGAAAAGCTCTACACAAGAGTCAGTTCATGCATTTAACACTTCTAGGGCTGGACTTATGTATTCCATTATTATCAGGATGTCCTAAAAACTCCATAAAAAAATCTTTATTTGATCCAAGGGTTCTGATGAGGACTAAAAAAAGAGCATACTTTGCCCACACTGGCTTCATTGTCCCTGTTAAATACAGAATTGGATTTAAAATCCTTCTTGTCACACACAAGGTCTTGTATAATTAGGTCCCATCTTATTTTAAAGACTTCATAGCACTGTATCATCCCACTTCTCTCTCAGACTGTGTGTTTTGTCCCTATAGTATTTAAATGTAAAATGGGAGGCAGAGCAACTCTTGGAGCAGAGCAGCTTCTAGTTTGGATCAGGTGGCCCCAAATCCTCACTCAGGTGGCCCAGGGGCTTCCCATGATGCACTGAGTGTTTCTTCTTCACTCACCTTTACACATTTCTCTTCCACAGCATGTTTTTATCCTGTCTTCCTCCTCTAACCTCAACCAGCAGCAGATGGCTGTCTCTCTCTCTCTCAGCCTGATTCTACTAGAAGTTTCTTTCTTTTAAAAGGGCGTTTTTCTTTTCTTCGATTCCGCTTCCTGAAGAGCAGTTGTCTAAGCATTTCACTGCATATCGTACGGTGTATGACTGTGTATGTGACAAATAAAATTTGAATTTGAATTTAATTTGATTTTCTATGCCAAACCGTTGCTCATAGCAGAGCATCTGACTGTTGGGCTTTTTCTGTTTTGTCTGTTTAACTGAAGGATTCTGGCAAATATAAAGCAACTTGAGGCAACTGTTATTATGAGTCAACGCTATGTAAATAAAATTGAATTGAACAGAAAAATTCCCGTGGCCTCGACTGCAAGATCAAAATTAATAAAACTTTTTAAATTCTTCAAACAAAACTTGACACTGTAGCTGGATTTCAACAAAACCTTTTTAATTTCATTGGTACTGTTTAAAAAAATCAGCGAGTCTGCTTTGATGCCAACTTAAACTTGGTGTGTGAACCGTGTTTGTGTATTTGTGGAGGGATTCGTGGTTGTGTGTGTTTTTTAGTGTGTACTGTGATGTACACGTGTGTGTGTGTGGGAATGTGAAATTGCTTGATAAGGCAACATGCAGTCATCAGTTTCCATTGGCCTCAAAGTAAGAACACACAAACCAGGTCCAGACACAAACACACACACACATTTTGCTGGCTGAATCCGTTCTGTGTTAGCAAACACACACGTCCACTCTCACATACAGTACATGTAGACACACAGTTTTGCAGGGCAAGCAAGCTGTGAAACGTGTCAGAACACTGAGTGACAGCAGAAAGAAACGATCTGATTGGTTGAGACAGTTGAGGGGTGGGAGCTTCACAACAGTCAGATTTAGATTGTGTGAAATAAAAACCATCCTAAAAGCTACTACATACCCCAGAATTCAAGCTGTGCACAGAACTACACATAAAGCTGGTCTAATTTTTAAACCCAAACCTTCATTATGCTCTTTTAAAGATGAATTAATAAGAATAAGAATATTTTCAACTGCAATACAAACAACTGACAAATGTCCCATCTGCTTGTTTCTCTCGATGGTTTGCCAAACAGTGTTACAGAGACTAAAAAGCAGCTACACAATAGCAGAAAGTGATCTTATTTTCTCCTTGAATAGTTATTTTGAACATTTTTCACACTATCCAGCACAGATTTCTTTATGAGAATTACTCTTGAAGAAGTCACGTGTCAGGCTTTTGTGATGTCTTCCAACTCGGGACTACCTGGAGGAAATTTCTTTTAATTTGGCACAATCATTCACTTTAAGTCAAGGAAGAACTGCAGCTCATTTAAGAGTCAAAGGTAAAATTCACAATCACCATACAAAACTTGTTTCTGGCATTAACTAAATAACTCATTTAATAACTACTAATTAAATAACTTCTATCAAAGTTTTACACAAATGTGAAGCAGAATTAAATAATGAAGGTGTGATACTTGACAAAAGCTCTTTTTTAGTTGTAGTGAAACACTATAAGTGAGGGATAAATATAACCGCAAGGTAACAATTCTAGTTATTTTTTTCTCTGTATGTAGCTTTCTTTCGAAGTTGCTGAATTTTCTGCAGATCAATCAATTTTAAATACAGTTCTGTGTTTCTGAAACAATGCCAGTCAGCTTCTTTAGTGCTAAAAGTTGTTCACATATGAAGTCATTGTTACAATGGATGTTGCTGAGGTCTGAACTGCTTTGGAAAAAGGACATTCTCGAATTTTAAACTAAAATTATTATTATTACTTTTATTTTTGCGGGGAAACTTCCCTCTCAGTCAAATCTGATTAAACCTAAATCCTTAACTTAAGTAGTTCAAAGTAATAAGAGCTTTCTTCTCATTAAGTCTGCTTTCTCACACCTCAAATATTTAAATGTTATAGGAGTTTCTTTTAAAATGTTGCCTTTGCTTTCTCATGCATCACATGAACACATTTCAAGCTGCTGCTCTGACAGATGAATATTGTCTATTGCTTCCACTGTATTAACCCTAAACACTGAGTAGAAACACACACTAAGCCATTCAAAGCAACACAGAACAGCTGCTACTCTAGATTTAACAACACGTTACGAGTCATTCTACACATCTGTTCATGCAGTCTACTCTAACTACTTCACATGTAACTTCAACATCATCAAAGCACATTTTCCTGCACAAGCCTCTGGAGATTTGTTCTATACAGCAGCAGCTACACATGCACACACATACACGAGCTAACACTGGTACACAGACGCACTGACTGCAGCTCATCCACCCTCTCATGTCTTGCCTCAGTCGCACACTGTGTTATTGTTCGCACCCAGAATCGTATTTCCCCCAACTGTGACTCATTCGCCCAAAGTGCGAGTCAGTGCCGTAACGGCATGTACTGTATGTGAGTGTTTCATGTGTGTGCCGAATGTTGGTGTGTTTCTTTTTTGTGTGTTTGCGTGTGAGATTTTACTATGGGTTCATGTGGCAGAGCAACAACACCAGGATCATATCAGGACACCACTAACACACAGATGAGGCGGGGGTACGAAAGCTTCAGGCTGCTTTAAATTAGAGGGGAGGAAAGATGGCGGTGAGGACCACAGGGGGAGGCACCGGGGAGTGACGAGACTGAGCGGGGAGAGAGGGGCGGTTGTGCAGCATCCGGAAGAGTCTGTATTAGTTGATTTTGGTTCCGTAAAGTCACAAAAAAATATTGTTGAAGATCTGGAGTCTGGTACAGCGAGGCAAAGGGGGAGGCGAGGGGCAGGTGGAGAGCACGGGAGGGCCTGAAGATGACTAGTATCCCTGGAAGGGAGGAAAGAAGAAAAACATAAAAACACAAATATCAACAGTGGAAGACATTTTTTATATGTATAACAGTAAAAAACATCAAGCATATGTTAAAGATCATAAAGCAGTATTCCTCTTTTTGCTACTTAAAATTTCCATACAATCATATTTTAGATGATTCGATTTAGAGTTTTGCATTCATAGTTCAACATGAAACCAGCGGCTTCAAGCATTTTTCTGCTTGTGACCTCTTACTTTAAAAAGGCAGCCAGAAATCCTCATCATATCTGTGCAATCGCTGATTTGTTCACAGCAACACCAAACAACTTCCTTTTAAGATGTCCCACCTGGTTTCAGTGTTTTGCTGTCATTATAAACTTGCATGCTTCTCTTTTTCTGCTAATCCGGTTTGTGTTTATTTAGGCCTTGGATTCTGGAGACTGGTACACAGATTCTTTAGGTTAGATTTTATTATTGTCTAAATTATGGTTTTACTCAATTTACAAATGCATTTTTCTTGGATGTTTGATCTTTACTAAATTACTAAACTGACGCACAGTAGCAGCTTGATCCTTGATAGTATAGGATATGCAACGTGATACTGAAACTTACTCTAGTGTATTTAAAATGAGAATGGATTCCAACTGATCTGCCTATCCATGCATTTTAAGAACTGAAAATACATTTTAAAATAATTGTATGTGTCTTAAAGCCTGGAGATGTGTACAGTAAAAACCTGTATAAACTAATTAATCTGTAAGTTGTACAGTTTTGTTTTGAAATCTAGAAGCCTGAAATCTGCTTTGTCTAACTTCTATAGCTCATCTCTTCTCAGCACTAGCAGCTCCACATTAGTTACCACTAGAAGAATCATAGACTGTATATAAAAGATCAATGTGACCAACATGAAATTATCCAAATTCGGCCATTACTCTTTTTGTGTTTTGAAAGTAAATGTGAGAAGAGAGGAGATGATCAGGCTGAGAAATGCAGGGACACTGTTAGTTATTAGCAACTTGTAAATCACAATGAATGCCCACCTTCAAGCATACAGTGCTTTATTGTCTGTTTGACTCTAACTGGGATAAAACTAACATCATGTTGGAAAAAAACGAAGATATGTTGAGTCTCACCGGGATCATGGAAACTGGAAACTGGAAAGAAAGTCCTCTGTATAACAAAGGTGTATGTGACCGCTTTTAATGTATGTGTTTTTAATAAAATACATGAAATAAAAGAAATTGTTTCATCTTACCTCTCCTCCTTCCCCGCCCTGCTGCATTCCTCCATATTCTCCCTGTGGGAGGAGAAGACGTTAATGTGGATGGATTATAAACACGAGAGAGGTGGCGTGAATATTTCAGCAAGGATCAAAGAATGAACTGATGGCACCTCTAATTCAATAAAGCAGTTACAATATTTCCAAAAAGCATGCAGTGCCATTGAAAGAGCTCTTATCATCATGCGCAAGATTTTTCAGCAAAGGGAGAGTCAGTTAATTAATTATAGCTTTCTAAGATGTCAGAGGAACACTTTTGCCTACAGGCTTCTGATGCACAGGCCTTACAGGGAAGCAGTTCAGAGCATGCCATAAGAATATTCACTGCCTTGTCTGATGTTCTATAGATGTGGCTTAATGTTGCATAGACAAGCTACACGGTTAGAAATGAATTTTAGTATCACTGGAGCCTAAAGTACGCAACTTAGTGAGCATGAGAGGAAAATGTCTCAAATATTCAGAGGAAGAAGTCACAAAGTTATTTTTTATGTTGTATTACAACTTGGATTTTTCCTGGAAGCATGAAGGGTTTAATCCAAAGCCCCAAATGATGCAGGAATAAATTCAGGAAGCCTTACAGAAGCTTCTGTTCCTTCCCTTTCCTCCTGAAGCTCACTGAGTTTGTTGTACACTATTAACTAACGTTCACGCAATCCAATACAAAAGGGTTTCTACAGATTGTGTACACCTAACAGACTGTTAGCAACATGCACAGAATCCCCCCCCCCCCCCCCCCCCCCCCCCCGCTTTCCTAACCCTCCCGATTTCTTTATGACCTATGACCCCAAAATGTTCTGTCCAACTGGCACCTCGTATACAGGCTCCTCCTATCAGGGAAACAAAAATGAGACACAAACAGCACAAACAACAAAATGTGAGAACAGTAACACACAAAAACAAAGCACAAGAAAAAAAAGCACTGGCACAAAATTATAACAAAAGAACAGCACACAAAACACACGACAATAAAGACATGCAGAAAAGACACAAATGTTAAATGCAAGAACATCTAACATCTGACAGAGAGTTCAAAGTATAAGAGCAGAAGGAGGACGATCAGTTCCAAGAGCTCCAAATGACATTAGAGTGGTAATTCAAAATTTTCTTATACAAGTTGTAATACAAGTTTTTTGCAAATGTGTCACAGTTATATGTATTTTATTATTTCTTTGCTTAAAAAACAAGCAAACAACACAGTGATGACATAAATAATAACTGAATCCGTAAATATTAAGTTTAAAAATGTACAATTTTTTCAGGCTGTGGAAAACTGGACAGACAGAAAAATCCTCTCACAAGCAGATGGAGCCACAATGACCTTAATTTACTCAGAGCAAATAAATGTAATTAAAGTTTCTCAACAGAGAAAGAAATCGGATTTCTTTGGTGTCCTGCAGTTGTTTGATGTGAGTTCAGGGGAAATGGCTCCATCTAGTGTTCAACCTCAAACTAGCATTAAAGATCAGCTTCAGGCACAATTTAACTTAAATGTGCAGCTGACACTTTGTTCAGCTCAATCAACCCCCGATCCCGTTTTAAAAATGAAGTTTTCAGCATTGTTACTGCATGAGAACTCTGGTTCCCTTCTAGAGCTGCAAAGATGCTAATGAGGTAAACCTATGAAGAGTGTTGGTGCGACCCACAGTAACCATGGTAACTAACCTGGTTGACCAGCCCGGTTGATGCAGCAACGTTCTCGACTCCCTCCACACCCGCCTGCGCCACCTCGTTGGCTCCTGCAACCGCTGTTTCTCCGACAATGTTGGCCTGATCCACGGTCCTGTTGGCCACTGAGACGTGGAGAGCGAAAGAGGGTTAGTGTGTAAACTGCACTGTGAGAAAACAGTCCTGATTTTCACCTCAATGTGAAAATCTGTGCAAAGCTCTTTCCAGGACTTTGAAAAGATCAGATGGGGATGGGACAGGAAATCAGAACATTTGATCAGGAAAAGTGGTATGCAGTGTAGACAACATATTCAGATTAGTGTGTAACCATCTGCCCTCATACAGGTGTATTACCTGCCAAGTAGAACTGTAAATAAATATTTACACCTTTTTTCTCAAGTAAAATTCATAACCCTGCTAAAGTAACCTAAGAGTACAAAGGTTTTAGCAATTAAAGTACCTAAAGTAAAAGTACTCATTCTACAGTGTTGCTTGAAAATAGTTCATTATTCTCTAATGATTCATTAATGTGTGTTGTAAGCTATACAATAAAATACATTATATCACATAACGTAGCTTTTTATTTCAAGTACTGCAGAGTAGAAGTAGATGGTATCATAACAAAGAAGTACTTAAAGGATAAGCTTGTACGTCACTTGAGTGATGTGAATGTATTTTCCAGTACTATTTATGCTATAATCCTATTGATGCTTTCATCTAAGAGTGTTGGGCATGAACAGTAGTCTACCACAGTGACCCTAACTTTAGTGTGGAGTAGGCTTGGGCAGTGCCACCTCATGGCCCCCCCTATGGAGACACCCCTGAAACTAAGTTGATACATTGGCCTCATCACAGAAGAGCCTTTTCACATATATAATTTGCTAAACCAGAAAGATAGTGTTATTCACTTTTATTTTCTTTATAAAAAGCAAAGTTTAAAAACATCTTGAAACCTGAAGTTTGTCTTTCACACACAAATGACGCTGTATAAGAGGGTCCAGAGCAAACAACATCAGCCTGCTCAGTGGAGGACAAAGTGAAGTCTCCAGATCCTTTAGCACAACTGTAATGTCATTATTTAAAGTAATATTAAAAGTAACAGCACTAAACATTAAAATCCTTCGGTAAACATCTTATTTACTTTTTCTATATGACAGTTAAAGCTTTATGCAGCTCTGTTATTATCTGTATGGATTAGAATAAAATCAGGATTTTTCTTATTTCTACTTGGCCATAGTATTATTTTAGTAATAAGCAATGAACCACATTTGGGTCACCTGGAAGAGGACACCTGGTATTTAAACACATTTCTGATGATTGTACCTCTAAACGTGTATCCAATGAACAGTTTATTTGTACATACTGCTCTTATTTGATTTATACCAAAATTCAATATTTATGCTTTTCATATCTTAAATTTCTAGATACAAAAAAGAAGTAATTTGAGAAATCAGATCAGCATCTACAGAGCATTTAAGCCTTTATCTGTTCAAAATAAAAGGTTATCATCATCATCAACATCTGCACCTGCTAGTTGCAAAATCAAATTGAGTGACACATACAGTAGGTGGCATCTGTGCTTTATCAGAAATATTTTCAAACTTTATTTATGTATTTTTTATTTTTTTCGATTTTACTAGAGAAAAAAACTTCAACAATGAAGATTAACTGACGGTTAACCATCCCACCTACCTATGTTACAAAACATACCCTTGTAGCCATCTGGGACTTTATACCATTCAAGTGTGACTAAGAGCTCCTTGTTCTAAGAACCAGAGTGTTTCAGCACAGTGCTTAAAGGTGTAGCCATGAATTCAGTGCTGAAGTATGAATATATTCGGATGTTGTTTTTGTAATAAGAGAAGGGATCATAACGAACTCTTCGGGACAGCAATCACTTCATATTCAGACAACAAACCTCTGCATTCTCCCCTCAGAGGTTTCTGTTTCTATATTTATATGATCTTAATAGTGGCTCAAACATGCAGCTTTTCTTACCTGTGTTTACTGATGACACCACTCCCTCCTTTGTCTTACTCCCTGCAGACCAAAAAGGAAAAACAGACTCATATTCATGTACATGACTCATGCATGTTTCCTGTAAAATAAAGAGACACATTTCACACGCCCTGTTTCTCCTGTCTGTGGTTTCTTTCCTCAGTAAGTAAAACAGTCAAATGAAACATAAACTATATAATAGATTTGTTATTAATGAATAATGTAGGAATAAGAGCAATGAGAGTTACATTATTAATAGCCTAATAGTAGCACATTTAATACACCAGTGCATTAAATGTTGTCAGAGAAATATCATAAAATGTTGACGGCAGATATTGCTTAAGTATTTTTGGACATTTCTCAGCTGCTGTTGCCCCTTTAAACTCTGACATAACATTCCCAAGAGTCTCAGCTCAGCGTGATCCATTACTGTTTCTAAAAATACATTCACAGACCTACTTTTGCTCACAGTTTTGTCAGTCTGACTGGTATGTTGTGCGCTTTCCTGCGTCCTCAAAGGGTTTTGCCTTCTTAAATTTTTTTAATAAAGTCTGGACTGTTTAAAGATCCTGTTATCTTTACCACTAGCTCTAAAAAAGCTCCTTTCACTTGGAAACATTTTATTTAATTGGAAGTCATCCTGTGAATGGGCTGCAACAGCCGCACGTCTCTGTGTGTGCCTTCCTGCTTTCCAGCCCTGTGCTCATTACAGTATGATCCCAGCAGATTAAATTGTGGTTATGTAATCTGCCAACGTTAGGGATGACAGGAGGGAAGTATCAGAGCTAAAAGATAAGAACAGTAGAAAGAGTGAGAGGAAGGTAAAAAGGAACTAATGGAGGAAAGGAAGGCTACATCTGCAGATGAGTAAACTGACTGCACTCTTTTTTATAGTCACATAGATGCAGCTGCTGCCATTTACAGTGTCCCACATCCAGTCAGCCTTGCTACCTTCTGCTTCCCTCCATCTTTCAGCACGTTCCCCGTGGTACATGAGCCACGTGCGGGGTACTGAGCAGTACTGCAGTACAGCTCATCGCAGGCTGCAGTGACACAGCTTCTTTCTCAGTCAACAGGGGGAGCCCCCCTCCCGAGTGTCACTGCACGCCGTGACTATTTCAGCTGAAGAGCTGATCTGCCTGTCACCAAACAAGCCATGCCTGTGAAAGAATACATGACTTCTGAGGAAACTTTGCTTTATGATTTATCGAGTAACTCATAAACATCTTTTTGTAATAACGCCGATTCCAGCTGAAGGTGATGCACAGGACACAGCTGATCAAATGACAAGAATAAGAACAAAAACGCAATTGTTGAAATAATCCTTGTAATAAATTATAATCCTGATTGGAGGCATGCCTGAGTACACAAAGACGGCATGGATTAGAGCGTTTGAATGCATTTTTACCCATTATGAAATGATGCGTTAAACACAGAGAAATACAGCTTTTTTTCCAGAGGAGGATTTGCGCTTCAGCAATCCTGATGTGGTGAAAAATCCTGTTAACTGTGAATCCTTATGTGCTCTCAGCTAAAGAAAGATGCAATTTTACACACCTATATATAATCAACAACACGCTGTATTACCATATACATACAAATGAAAAAGGAAATTCATATTCCGTATTGCAAATACATCGTGTTAAATTTACAGGGCAGAAAAAAAAATCATGCTAATTGATTTCTTTCTAAAATAATTGCTATATATGTTGGTATATTTTCATATTATTGCAAAAATAAACACCTAGAATTTTTAGATTGTGTATTTTGGATTTTTCATGAATCTCTTTAAACAAAAGATTGTAATGAAACCATCAGTGATTACCAAAACACCGAATTAAATCTTAAAAGCAAAAATAAAGGGATTGATAAAATCACATGAAGTTAAATCTCTTAATTAAAAGTTAAAACTTAAGTTTTGGAGCTGTTTTGCGGCAGAAGCTTTTAAAAATAAATTAATAAATCACTGAGCATGTTGCTGTGTTTGTCCAGGTCTGGCCCATGTGGTGGAAAGCAGGCGTGCAAACCTTGATACTGTGTACTGACAGCCACATGCTGACGTAGGCACTCTGCTGCAGGTGGATACAGTGAAACCATTGACACTCTTCACTGATCACATCCCCTCTCCCCCTTCTGATCCTCCCCCTGTGATCTGCGTTGTTCCCTCTCTGTCTCTTGCTTCACTTTTACCCCCTTTCTCTTGCTTCCTTGAGCTTGTGACCACTGTCTACTTCCTGGAAGATCCAGGGTTTCTTTACCCAGCAAGTCTCAGCCCTCTGTCCCAATGTGTCACCTGTCTTTCTCCTCCACGAGCCACGAGACTACAAGCTCAAAGCTTTTGGTGACATAACACCCCTCCCTTCATTTTTTTACCCCCTCTTTTCTCTCTCTGTCTCTCTTTCCTGCATCCCTCCGTTCTTCCATGTCTCCCTGGGGTGGGTGTTTTGTGAGCTGTGGGGGGTGGAAGGAAGGAGCACTCACTGGGAGGCCAATCCTGCTGCTGTGACACCACAAACTAACACAAGCACACAAATGTTTTTGCGTCCAGCACAAACCGATGAGGGTAGAGCGTGCGGGAGAAGGAGGGTGGGGGTGGAGGGGTTGTGATAGAGAGAGAGAGCAAATTGCTGCAGTGCTCAAATGATCCTTGCCCTAACTCACCCCTCCCTCTCCAGCTTGTGCCGTTGACTTCCCCCTTTTTTTCATCATTATGATTAAAATTTTGTAGTTGCTGCATGACGGTCAGACAGAGCACTGACAGGATAGACAGCAGACAACGATGGAGCCCTCCACTCTGATCGTTCCTCACCCACCCTCCTTACTTTTGCACCCCCTCTGGCCTGTCCCAGGTGGTGTGAAAGCCTGCTGCTTGGGATAACCTTGAAACGTGACGCAGTGGCAGCTTGAGCTATAATTAAAGTGCAGGAAACAACAGCATCTGTGCAAAGCACCCGAGGTAAAATATAAATGAATCATTTTTCTTGGGCATTTAAAATTGTATTTCCTCTTACACTTACATCATCTTGCGTCTTGCTGTGAAATGATTCTTTTTAAGTGTTTAAATGCTTTTTATAACACTTTTCTAAATATATTTTTTTCTTTTAATTATGAATGTAGGTCAGCTCTATTCTGTAAATTTAATTTAAAAAAAATCAGATAAATTGACACTCTGGAAACCAGTCCATCACTGGACATCCCCATCCAAACTGCCTCACAGACCAGTGATTTAATATAGTCACGCTGGTCAGGTGATGAAAGCCCGAGGAAGCGGCGTCACAGAGCTCTGCAGTGACCTCCTTTCCCTCCTTTTGCTCTTCTCTTTTGCTTTTCTTTTGCTTTCCCCCCAAACATCCACTGATCACTGTCCTGCTGCAAAGCTGTAACCCTCACTGTCTTTTCCTCGCTGTTTCTCACTGTCCACCCTCTGGACCCTGCACCAGTCCTGCAGCAGTATCCCACCAGCACTCACTCCATCCCCTCCTTCCTGCCTTCTCTTCTCTTTTTCCTCCTCCTCCTCTCTCTGTTCCTCTCACAAGTCTCAGACATGGATCCCAAATCATATGATGCAAAAAGTACATGAAGTAATTCCACATATAGACCAAAAAATGAGTGCACCTCCCCCCCACAACCCTCCAAACTCTTTTTGCTGCATGATATATTACATACCTACATACATTACCCCCTCCTTGGTCTTAGCTGCTGCTTCCTCCATGCCAGCTTTGGTCTTCTCTGCGGCGGCCACCACCCCCTCCTTGGCCATGGAGAACCCCTTCATCAGTACATCCATGTTGGGCGATGAAACAGTTGGGCTCCCCTGCTCCAAATGGGCCTGGCTGGTTGGCTGGCTGGTGCTTACAGTGAGCGTGCAGAAGTGATGCTGTGAGATGTCAGAGTGTGTGGCTGGGTGAGTATGTGTAAGTGCCTGTTTCCTGGTGGCTCCTCCTCCCTTTGGTGCTCCAACAGAGGGCTGAGAGGAACACACAGCAGGGCTACAGCACTCAGACTGAGAGAAACAGGAGGGCGGATACAGCCAATATGTAAAAAGATGGGGAGAGGAGGAGGAGAGGCAGCCGGATGCTGCAGCATTTTCAAGTCATGCTGCAACCCCGCCCCTTTAGTCATCCCTCCACTCTCGTCCATCTTTTCTTCTGGTGACTCTCTCTCATGCTCAGCTCAGCCTTTGGCTATCTGTTTGCATATTTTGATTGGCACGCTTTGCTCTGGGCACACCTTTGTAGATGCTGAGGCTCCATGCGCTGGTTACATAACCGACAGATCCTCTTGTCAGATCATATGCATCCTTAAATTTTGCAATGTAATCTGCAGTTGCATCACAGAGCTTGTCCCAAACATTTGCTTCCTTTGTTTTTAATTTCTTAGCAAAATGTTCTCAGTTGATACTTTATTTATATGTTTTTCTATTCTTTTTACTTATAGTATTGCTGTTTATATTAATGCTTTGCCATCAGCTCAGATTTTTTTATTTTTACCACTTGAGCTGAATCAGAATGCATTAAGAAAGACAAAGAGAGCATCTACAGCTATTTCTGTGGTTGTGATTGGAGAGAAATTGCTTTGTCATCTTCACCTGAATGAGTCACAACAGCCCCGCTCTTCCTCTTCCTCCTCCTCCTCCTCTTTCTGTTTCACTCAGACATGCCGATTCAGCAGTGCAGTGATTCTGAGTGACATTGATATCACAACCAGGGTTTGAAATGATCCGGAACCTTCAGCACCTTCAGTCATTAAATCTGAGGCAGGTTAAGGTAATTTTCCGTGTGCTGCTGCCTGGTGTTGCTTCCAGTGAAAACATGGAGATATACTTGCTCAGTAATAAAAACAAAAACGTCCCACGACCCGCTACACCCTCAACACATCCTTTTTTCTTCTCGTCCCTGTGATGCGTTCGCGGTGCACATGTAAAGTTGGAGTGACATGCAGTGAAACGCACAGGAGAAGAAATGTGAGATTATTTTCAAAAGTTTAGCTTTTAAATCACACATTGGATCCGTACTTGGTATTTTGCTGTTTTTGTGAAATATCCTGCAAAATAAACTGTACTTGAATAATAATTTTGTGTTAGTCAAAGGTTTAATGAAGATACTAGGCTACATTGGTTGGTTTGCGGTAGTGTAATAAAGAATACACTGATTCACTGTATTGGACTAGTGCAGAAGAGGCTGTGGTATTCATGTAAGGCTGTAGGAAGGGTAGCAGACATCGATTTCTAATAAAGGTGATGATGCACACTAGATTCAATCACTGAATTCTACTTTATATTGTGCATTTGTTGGATATCAGCTTGTAAAACATCTGCAAATCAACGAAAAGTAATCAATATCAGAGTCATGTGACTTATCTACAGGTTATTCCTCACCAGCTAAATCCCACTTTACACAAGCTCCATTTTTTTTTTCAAAAAACAAAACAAAACAGTTGTTTGATATTAAAATGTTGGCAAGTAGGAACATAATTATATTCACTGTATAATACTAGATAAAGGAAGGGATGAAGCTAGAACACCGTGATCCATGAAGCGCTGTTTTGCTGTTGCAGAGGCGGAGGGTCCCTCCTTCAGGTCTTTGACTGCCCTCTGGTGTTCACAGGACTCATCGCATCATGACGCAGCATTATGGCAGTGATGGGGGGTTATTTAGACTTCAGCTGTTAAGTCATAAGATGTATGATCATCAGTCACTGATGCTGTTTGCAAATCTTTTGTAGCCAAGTCCAAGTCAACGTGCACGACTATGAACGATAAACTGTTTACCTGAAAAGAGCCTTGCTGGTAGCCCCCCTTCATGCAGTTCCCCTCTGCTCTGCAGAAGTTTTCTTTCTAGAAATTGAATTTTTGGTTCTGTATTTTAATATTTTTTGTTGTGGCCTCACTGGTCAAGTCCATGTTTGGTGTGTCAGTTTTCACCAGAAAGTGCAGAAACATTAGGTAGCTGGTTGGGGAGCGAATAGCAGAAAAACACAGCCAAATATCTTTGTCATGTGTTGGTGAAGAAACAGAACTAAACAAAGAGTTAATATTGTTAACCCCTGGATGCTAACTCACTGCCACAGTATACACTGCTAAAAAATTTGAAAGGGGGATTTTAGAGTACAGCATCCAGCCAATCAATCTGGTCAGTTAAGTAGCAGAGGGAGTTGTTTTTGCTGCTTTGGTATCAATGAAATTAAAAACAGGTGCACAAGAGAGGCAACAATGACACAACCCCCGAAGACAGAAATGATTTTACAGATGGAGGTCACTGATATTTTTTCCCACCTCATGTTTCCCGTTTTTTCATTAGCTTTGCATTTGGCTGTTCTCGGTGTCACTACTGGAAGTATAAGGCAATAGCTGGACCCTACAGAGGTTGCACAACTACTCCAACTCCTCCAGGAGATGCAATTGCCAAAAGGTTTGTTGTGGGTATCAAGATGAACTCTCTGGACCCAATATCAGACACTACGCTGGTGCAGTGGGTCCTGGGTTCCTCCTGGTGCACGACAATGCCCAGGCTCTGGAAGGAGAAACCCCAGGAAATCTGTCATCCCATTAGGAGCTGTCACTGTTATGCATGCATATAAGCACATGGGGGCCATACAAACTACTGAGCACCATTTTTTCCATTTTTCCATTGAGATCTGATATGTTTTCAGTGTTTTATTAATTTGTTTTGAGAAGTGAATGTTAGAAAATAAGAAAAAGTTTAATGGCGTTGCTTTAAAATAAAAGCTGAAGATTGTGGCTCCACATGCTGTGTTCATATCTAAGGCTTTGTCAGCCCTGTTATCACAGCTGTGCCAGTGCCAGCGGTGCCACAAGCAAATAAACAATCATCTTATTATCCTGTCAAAAGCTGTTAGATGCTCTTTTGTTTTTGGTTTAGTTTTTATCCTGGTTTGCAAAGTCAAAGACTGCTTCTGCTTTTCCATCAGGAACAGAAATGACAGGAAACACGATTGATGAACGTCTCAATCATAGCACCACACCATGTTTCCAGCGGTTTACAGCAGTTCATTCAGCCGTATTGTTTTAAGAAAACATTTATTCACATTCATATCAGTGCATTTGTTTTTTTACATACTGTATTGGTGCATTTAGATACATCTCTATGTGTGCTGCCTCACAAACATGCACATAGTGTTAAAATTCATATGTTTGTTTACGTACTGGTGCATAAAAGAAACATAATTTCTGCATTTTCACTTGAATACTTCATTTTTTGTACAATTTCCCTTTCACATAAGAGAGACAGAACCCAAACAAAAAGGAAACAAGGAAAGAAAAACCCAAATGCTAGATCAGGTTTTAGCAGCTGACAGATATATTTGACATTTAACATTTAGCATTCTTACACTAACATTTAGTATCTTTCATCAAACTAATCTGGGCTACAATACTATGTCACATTCCCGAGCACTTTGCTCCTCCTCTTGCTCCTTATCTCTCTCCATAATTTATCTCTTTTTCCTCCTTTTGTCCATGTCGTCCTTTACATGTTCTCCTCCTCCCCCCTCTCTCTCTTTCTCTTTCCCTTTGTTTTCACCTTCTCCTCTTTATTCCTGGACATTAAGGATCTGTGCAGACAGTCCATGATGCCAGTTCTTCAGCTTGGCAAAGCGGGGCCCTTTGACCTCCGACTCAAACTTCTCTCTGATGGTAGGGAAAACAATATGTGTGTGCGTGGGGAAAGAAATTAAATAAATAACACTTTTTAGTTTACGGTTAGGTGCATGCATATTTGGAGAGTGACACACTTCTTTATAATTTTTCATCTGTACATCTTCAAAGTGTATTACAGAAGAAAAAGCCAGTTTTAAACATAGTGCACCACTTTTCCAAGTGGATTCCAGAGAACTGAGGAAAAAAGTATTTTTCTGTTTTCGTGATTTCCTGCCTCTTTGGAGGTAAAAGAGACCACCCAAACATGAGATATCACTGGAAATGCCAGAATGTCCTCTATTGAGCACATTGAGACTTAGTAGGGTCGCTCAAATAAGTCAAAGGATACAGATTAAAAACAAATGTCCATTACAGAGGGTCTCAGGAGGATATTGTTTCGATCACTGTCAGGTTTCCATGCTATCAAACTCAATGGCAACATCCTTGCTCTAGTCCAATCATCTTCTTGCCCACTTTCTCTGAGCCAATCAGCCTGCACTCTGTCCCACTCTTGTCACTCAGAGCTTCATTTAAACACCGGTGACGATGAAGATGAAGATGGAGGCTTAGACTCCAGGGGGTCCTATCCTAATTCCTATCACTGGGAGTCATCAGAGTCTAATCGTCAAATAGATTAATTGTATTCTGTATCTTGGTGTCTCTCCTTTCTGAAATAAACTGATGATAGTAAAGTGTTTCTTTAGAGGTTGTCAAAAAACAACTCTCAAGACGTACAAGATTAACTTGCACAAAAATGATGGAAGGAGAAGAGTATGAAGAAGGAAAAGAGCAAGTCATGATCTAAAGCATGCCAGCGTACTGAAGCATGGGCGTATATAGCTGCCAGCCAGTGGAGCTGGTTTACTAGTATTTATTGCTGATACGTTCCTAATAGAAGCAGCTGAGCTCTCTGCTCAGATTCAACCAAGTGCTGCAAAACTAATCTGACAGTGCAAATGAATAATTAGCTGAGGCAAAATTCAAAAGATGATGTTCTAGTGTCAAAATAGGTTATTAGATATAAAAGTTAAGTCAAAGAGACCCTTAAAGCATAAGGAAAGCTGGCTGCAGTAAAGGCCTGGCAGAGCAGGGTTTCAAGCAGGGATCCAAGCATTAGAAACAATCCTTCCATTAAAAGTTATGTTGGTTTGTCCAGTTACTTTTGAGCATATGAAAGTGGATTGCTATGTATAAAAATGGCTGCAATAAACAGTTAATGCAATACCTTTCTTAAACCCTTTTAATTAAAGTTGAAGTATCCACTTCAGTTCAGCTTAGCTTTCTATGCATTTTTCTTTAAGACAAGGTAGCTGATGCCAGTTGATGTAATTTTTCAATTTTGCTAAAGTATCTGAACCTCTCTAATGTCTCCAACTGTCAGTAGACTGGTCACGCACCATTAAAAGACCACTCTTACCTTGACTTCTGCAGGGCTTCCTCATCTGGGTCTTGCACTGCATTGACAGACATAAACAAGAGCATTTAGTAAGATCTCTCAATGAGATGATAACTAATTGAGGATTTGGAAGGAGAAGTATCGGGCACATTCAGGGAGAGGGTATGAAATCATAAAGGATGAAAGGACAAGAAGATAAGGTGGAGTCAGTGTACTGACGGAATTCGGTGCCAGTGATGTGGGCCAGAATCCTGAAGCTTTTAGACTGCAGGTTGGCAGCGCGGCGAGCCCAGTCAGTCATGTCCAGGGGCTCTCCTGGCCTGATCACTGCCTGGTACACTGGAGATGCACAATCTACCACAGGCTCCTTGATGGGCAGAACACCACTGCAGGACAAAGAGTTCAGTTAGACGTCATCGGAACAATGATGGATGTTAAGGCCCAACCTTTAAAGCTGAAACTAGATCATGTATTAAGTGCCCATGATACACTACCACCTAACGATATTAGAGTAGTAGAATATTTGTACACCAAAAACAAATATTGGAACAAAAAGTAAAATTGCCTAAAGCATCACTCTTTTAATTCAGTGTTGTGAAGAATTATTTGCATCCTTCCTAATTTCTTAGTTTTTACATTTAGTTTTGACATATTTCAAATTATTAAACAAATTTTAATACTAGACAAAACCCAAATAAATACAAAATACAGTTATATATCCAAACCTACCAGGCCCTGTGTGAAAAACTAATTGCCCCTTGTTAAATCATCAATTAGTGGTAAAGTTGTGAAACTTTTGCCTGCCAAACATACAACAAGAGTGAATGATGACTCATCCAAGGGGTCATAGAAGAACCCAGAACAACATCTAAAGAACTGCAAGCCTCACGTGTCACAGTTCAGGTCAGTGTTCATGGTTCAACAACAACAAAAAAGAGACTGGAAAAAAATGGCATCCATGGGAGACTTCCAAGGAGAAAATAACAGGTGACAAAAAAAGAACACAAAAGCTTTCTGCACATTTGTTAAAAAAAACATCTTAATGATGCCCAAGACATTTGGGAAAACAATATATGGTCTGATGAGCCAAAACGTAAAGTTTTTGCAAGATTTAAGTTCCATTACAGCATTTCATAAAAAGAAAATCATGTCAACAGTCAAGCACAGTGGTGGTAGTGTGATGGTCTAGGGCTGATTTGCTGCTTCAGGACCTGGATGACTTGCTGCAACTGATGGAACCATGAACTCTGTTCTCTATGAAAAATCCTAAAGGAGAATATCTGGCCGTCAATTTGGACCCTTAAGCTCAAACGGACTTGGGCTGCAGCAGAACAATGATCCGAAAAACACCAGCAAGTCCATCTCTGAATGGCACAAAAAACCCAAATCAAGGTTGCAGTGACCTGAAAAACTTTGGCATGATCTTAAACAGGCTATTCATGCTAATAATAATACAAAAAAAACCTTCAAAGTTATCAAAAAAAACTTGATTGCAGTTCTTTCTGCCAAGGGTTTTGCATCATTTCATGTTATCTTTGTCTAGCATTAAAATTTCTGTGATTATCTAAAACATTTTAGTCTGACAAATATGAAAAAGATGAAGATATCTGGAAGGGGGCAAAGACGTTTTCACAGCACTGTATGCATATTTGTATGTGTCTATAATTCTTTGCTTTTTAGGAGTTCTTGAAAGTCTCTAATCTCAGTGTGTAACAGACCTGAAACTGGAAAGACCTGCTGAAATCTGCAGTATTAACACCCACTGAAAACCCACTAAATATTGAATTTTATACAATCATGGGCATTTTTTACATTAAGGTTAATTATTACATTTTTATAGTTTATGTGTTAATCCATCATATTCAATTCTGTTCTGTTGATCTATAGTTTTACCTTAAGTGCCTGTATTTACTGTCTTGTAGTCTTCATGACAGTAAATACTCAGGAGCATGTACACAGCAGTTAGTAAGTGATTCAGTGCGGGTCCGGGCAGTAGATGTTTTAAAAACCTGTGATACTCAGAACATTCCCATGCCATAAAACTGCATCAGATGAAATCCCATCAGGTTCCCAAAGCTGTGATGATACTGGCTCCTTTTTTCAGAGTATGACTCTAAACTCGACTTGCACTCTCACACTAAGGCCAAAGTACCCACGGTACTTCCTCACACATAACCATGACAACCTCATGGTTAGTGTGCATCAAACACTTTGATGTGATGTTTCAGACAAACACATAAAAACATAAATTCTGTATACAGGAGGCTGGAGGATTTTCAGACATTTTTCAGTCGGGCATTAGTTTATGAGACACATGGCACAATGCGCAAGCTATTATGAAGTCGTGAGACGAGAGGAGACGCACGGATGAGGAGAGGCGAGACGGAAAAGCAGCTCTGCTGTACTTACGCCAAGGGGGAGCCTGCCTCTTCACTTCATGTCACAACCAGGAAGGAAGGATGGGGAGGGATGGGTGGAGGACAGCGCGGGTGTGGTTGGTTGGTTGGATGGAATGAGCAGAGGAAAGTGGGTGAAGGCACGGAGGAGTACTCGGCATGGACATAGACAACAAGGAAAAGCCCGGGCATACACTACACCACTATAGACACCCTATTTGTAGCAGCGTAGGCTTAACGTATGCTCAGAAGCTCCACCTTATTTGGAGCTTTTCAGGCAAAAGTTAAAAGGTCAGTTTCATCAACCACTGCTGTTTTATCAGACACATTGGCATCTCATAGTGGCAGTGATGCTGTGACCTACTGCGTTATGGCAACAGTAAAATGGGATTCTCATTCATAACTCACAAGTTGACTTGCAAACTACTTTTTGGTGTGTCATTTACACACAGAGGCATATTTTAAACCAATCTGACAATCAAAGTAGATTTTAGTGCCTTAATATAACCAGCAAGTGAAGATTGAGTGAATGAATATGGGGATTTTTGTCATTTGAGTAACTGACCCTTTAATTTCTAAACACGTGGCTTTGTTCAGTCAGTGTGATGTCATCAAATGGTGAGTGCAAAAGAGGTATAAAACACCTGGGGGCGGGATTGGTTTAGTTGTGTGTCCTCACCTGTCATGTCCCTTTGCCTGTGACTGCCCTGCGATAGCGTCCATGATGGCGTCCTGTGAGTACATGCTGATTGGTGTGTTGTACTGAGCGTGAACGATAGTGGCTTTTCCTCCTGGACCCTTCACTTCAATGGGCTTGTGGGTGGACAGGGCTGAGTCTTTCAAAGCAATGGGGTTGAAGCTGGGGGTGTACTCCACACTGTCAGAGCAGGTGGAAAGGGTGAAAGGTCAGTGGGTAAAAGAAGAAGGTTTCAGGTGTGGGGTGAAGGGTTTAAACATGAGGCGTTAACAGACGGGGATATGAGGGGAACGAAAAGGCAAGGTCAAGGTGTAGTCATGCAATCGGCAGAAAGGGGGGGCTGTTGTACCGCTGTAGTGGTTAGCAAATATACACCACTCTGTACTGTAGCTGTGTCCCAGATCCAAAACATGGAAAAATGTGTGATTCCAGACTGGATTCGAGCCCCAGATCTTCTTGCTGTGGGGAAGCAGTGCTAACCACTGCACCACCATGCCACATATGTTGACTTACACCATCAAAGTTTGGGATTGTCTACAAACATCACTTAAAAGTTCACAATTTATTAACAGTATTTAAGTGCCCATAGACATAGAGACAACCTAACAGCTCTTTCACTTTTAATGCTGAAGCCACAATGAAGTGTATTTTAAAAATAATCTAGTTGACACAGGGAGCATTGCATCCTGCTGTCACTGTTTGGAAGGGACATTAGCTGCTGCATATGTCATATGCTAACTTCTTACAGTGCAATCCAGCTGAAGTCAGAATTTCCAAGTTCAGAAATGGAACTTTCACCTGGAACTGTGCCTTAAAATCGGATTTCAAACTTGGAAAGTTGGAGCAACCCCACCATCTCGACTGAAACTATTCTAGATGGCAGCAGCGAATGTAAACAGTAAAACTTTTCATCTGTATTGTTGCATATTTGTGACTTGCTAATAAATAAGCCACAGACAGATCACTGACCGGGCTCTATCGATTATGGGCTGCGGTGGCTTTTAAGTGCTTGTCACACATGACAGGCTTTACCTAAGGAGCAAAAAAATAAATAAATAAATAAAATAGTGTTTCTTGATTTTCCAAGTTGAAAATGCTCAAATCGGGAATCACGTTGTTCCAAGCTACAACACCCAACTTTAGAGGGGAACTAAACACAGCATTATTCGTGTACTATGTGCGGCAAATGTTCAGATCCTACTGGATAAATATTTAATACCAGTGAATTAATATTTCTAATATTTGTGGAATTGGGACACAGCATGTCAACAGAAACTAAAAGGTCTTTGACATCATCTCTTGAACATTTCTAAACTCTTAGCTTTTACTTGACAAACAAACAAGTCCAAAGAAAACCAAACATGCTAATGTTTCAGGCACCCAGCAAGCCAAACTGACAGGTCATCACTGGCATGTTTAAAATGATGCACTCAGTTATACTGATATAGGCATAGTACTGCAAATACATAACATATCTGTTATGAATTTCACACACAGTAAAACTGATTAAAAGGACCAGCAGAAGTGGAAATGCAGGTAAATGTCTCAGTACATTATGAGTTCAGTGCTGATGCTGGAATGCCGGCAGCCTTAAACAATTTCCTTTGGGATCAATAAACTTAATGAAATGAAATGAAAATGAAATAATTATTTAAGGGAGAAATAAAATTGTGTCAGCGCTAAAATTTACAGTCTGTTTTGGTTTCTTTGTCTCAAAATGTAAGTAACGTTGGAACTCGTCTCTTGGCTACAATGTAATCTTGGCAGGCATGTTACATTTTTATGATAAAGTAAATGGCAACAGAGCTGTCAGATAAACAAAGTGAAGAACGATGCACAGTCATTTCTTGTGACATGGAGAAAAGTAGAGATTCTGGCCAAAGTCACCAAAGTAATGTGGTAGTCTGCCATTTTCCACTTCTGGGGACCAGATGATTTTAACATGACTTGAATTTTTAGCTTGTGAACGCCACGCTCAGTGCAGCCCAACAGCTACAAGGAAGCTTTAGTTCAACCACAAACACACAAATCCCACAACCTCACACCAAAGTTACGAGTGGATGATCGAAAATTGCTAATACTGCTGCGCTTCACTTCATGCACATGAAATGCTGTAAAAATAAATTAAGGTACTGACTTTGCAGCTGTGTTTGCAATAACCTGAAACACACCAGAGGAACCGACACACAAAGAGAGACAAATAGACAAAAGGAGGGAATGTGGTGAATCACTACAGGTATTTTTTGTGGATAACAATAGCTCTATGTGCGTTGCAGGAAACCATCCGGCTACAGTGCTCATGTGTAATCCCACGTACTGGTCAAAATAGAAGCCTTTTTCCCATCACTGGGATATTTCCCTGCTACCCCTGAAACCTCAGGAGTGACTGACAGGAGCAGAAGTGTTTCAGTCACATGACATAGGACGACAGGGATGTAGACACATTTAGCGCAGAACAGACAAAAATATACACAACCACACAAAACAGAACGCAAACCACCCGCTCAACTTATGTCAGAACAGCAGACATTACAGATAGATGAACACAGGCTGGCACAGACAAGTTACTGCAGATTTCTAACCCTGCATATGGAAATATTTATGTTGGTTTACCCTGGGCTCTTAAAACCTGCTAAAACAGGAGTTTGTAAAGTTTCACACAAATTCACCTTCATAAATCTGCATCCATTTCACTCTTATTCTCAGGGTTACTTGGAACAAATGGTGGTTTTCAGTGTTGTTTCATTTTAATATGGGCACAAGACAAGGCTAATGATATGGCAATAGTTCGGTCTGTCCATCCATCCATGCATCTAGCTTATTAACCGCTAATAGACTGGGGCCTATCCCAGACACAGTTATATAGTTTTATTAAATTTTCACCTACTGCAGAGGTCAGTTTGAATGTGCTTTGAGTTTGTGAGTATTTGTGAGTTCTGTTGCTGTTTTCAAAATAAACTGAGAGGACAAACAGAGTGCCTGATAGTTTTAATGAGCTACACATAGTGCAGCATAACCAATATCGTGTGAGATTTTAAGCCTGAATGATTTCAATCTTCAGAGAGACTGACTTCCTCTTATGCGAGGAATCATTGCCAACTTCATATTGTCAGTGTAAATGTGTTCAATTCCACAGTGGTGAGACACATAAATGTTTGTCTCTACAGTACATGGATGTGTTCAGGGTACAGTAAAGTGAAACATATCACGTATGGGGCATCTCCCTATAGACGGGATGTCCTTTCTCAGGTTTGGCCTTCAGGGGATTCAGGATGATGGTGTGTAACCAGAGCGGAACATTCCATAACTGCGTACAACAGCTGCTCGTCCTCTCCGAGTGTGTGTGTGTGTGTCCGCATGTACTCAGTGAGGTGGGGCTGCTGGCATGACGCTGCCGTCATCATCCTGTGCTCTGCATGGAGCACGTTTTTCTGACACCTGACTTCCCATTGGCTGTTACTGTAAGGGCTCAGCAGAGGGGAAACAGATTAGGGGGAGACTGATACGTGGCTGTGATATGTCAGAGGCCAAACACGTTACACCCTTAATTAAACTCTACACGTATTCCATGACTGAGACTTCACGCAAACACATGCCATCCTTCTGAGAAGAGACCGCTCAACAGCGGCCATAATTCAACTCCCACCAGACTCCAGGTATGGGAACTTCCAGATCAAATATGCAACATGAATATGACTTTACGGACACCAAAAAAGAAGAATAAGAAAGAAATGGAGCCAACCTGAGCTTTGTTAGGTGGAAATATGAGTTGAAGAAAGTGCTGTTTTTCTGGTATCTGTTTAGAAAGTATATATAAGAATGTGCAGAATGTGTTATATTATGTTTTGTCCAAAAAATATATTATGTAGCCCAATAATGCACTGTGAACACAGAAGAAAAATTATTATTATAGTGGCATTTTCCCTCGACGTTGGAACTAATTTTGAGTCAATCCCTTGGTTTTCTGTGGAGCTGAAAATCACCCTCTATAAGGACGTCTTTCATTACATGAATATCAACTCTAAAATTTACTATAGTGGGGCCCTACAGTTATATTCTCAAAACTGATAAATTTAGAAAGAGAAAAGCACAATGCTGAAATAAATGGCCACTATTACGCTGAATAATTCAGTGATAACAGCACAATACAGCAGAAAAGATTAGTCAGTTACAGGTTATTAAATATGTGATCCACTGAAAAACATTGTTGCTATTTTAGGGGTGAAAAACCAAAACAGTTTTACAAATTCTGACTTTAATTTTTAATGAATGTTTCTGCATTTTTCCCTTAGAATTGTTTAATCAAAATAAATGTTATTGGTTTGTTTTCTGAATCTAAACACACAGATAGCCAGAAGGCGAAAACAAAGATAAAAAAGCAACAAAAAACAACAAAATTAATACCTAATTATTTAGATCTATTGAATAAAAAAACAAACAGAATCTGACACCTTTTGTTTTTTGGTTTTTTGAATGAGCTCAGAGAACCGTAAGTCAGCACCTGTACAGCGGGTTTGTTTTTGCTATACCTGCAGAGCTTTTACCTTCGCATCAGCGACACTCACAAAAACAGCATGTCTCTGCTTCAAACAAGAATAAAACCTTTGTTGTGGGCTTTCATTCACATGTGTGCAGTAAGAGGGATGCATTCCCCAGATGATAAAATCTTCAAAAAACCAACTTGGGGAGCCGAAACAGCAAAAAGACTTCTTTGGTGACGATGTTGCTGATGGCAGCATCATTTCACTGGCTTTATGTTTTCATCTTGAAGAGTCAGTTTTTGTTCTGAGATATTTAAATGTAGTACTGAGGGAATGTGACCTTTAGTAAAGAGGCTCCAAATATCCTCAAATGATCCTGCGCTCCTCCCGTTCTGTTACCTGGATGCAGGCCAGGTGCATTTGTATGCACGCTCCTAAAATAGTGCCACGTGTGAGAGGTTATGCGTACTGGAATAGCAGTGGAAAGTTCTGAGTATATTTTCTGTTAATCTTTGGTTAAATGAGGGAGGTGTGGCTTCATTCCTTGGGTGAGCTCTGTTTGGCTCCCCCCCCCCCAGATTAGTTATCTTCTTCTCTCCGTATTATTTAACCGGTGGTTAAAGTGTGCTAACCTACCCCAGCGATGAAACTCTTCTGGCCGATGCTGATCCCTCGCCTATTTTGCCCTGCATATCAATCATATCTCTGAGAGTTTCGGGGGAGTAAAGGCCTATTGGGGAATTGTACTGCCCCCGTTGGCTTGGTGGAGATCTTGAAGCTGGGAAGAGATTTCTTTTGCAGGGTTTTTTGTCCAGGAGGATTCCACAAGACTCTTGATCCTTCTTTTGAACTTCTCCTGCAAAATGTTCCTCTTGTAATGCCTTAAAAATGGGAGAATGTCAAGATAGATGGATATATAGAGATGAAAAATGAATCTTTTAAATTAAACCAAAGCTAGCAGCTTGTTTAGCAGTTGTTCTGTTGGTGTTTTGCTTTTCTTTTGCTGACCTCTGACCTCCCTGTAGTGATTCCCCTTCAGTTGCACTGTGAATATTTTACACTAGAGGGCAGCAGGTCACTGCCTGATGGCACCATTATAAAATAGTTAATCATATTCTTACAAACACGTATAAGACGAGGATACGTAACACATTTACCAACACACAGGATTTAACAGACAACATATATGATATTCAGTAGGTCTGCGTGTGTCATTTAGGTATGTTTTTTTATGATAGAGCGGCTGTGTTTATACCTTCTGGTGAGGGATGACTGGCATAGGTGAGTCCATCCTTGGAGTTGCCGTGGGAACTGGGGCCGGGCGTCTTGATCTGTAGATTATACAGCAAAAAAATAAAAAATTCTGTTCAGGGAGAAAACGTCAGATGTGTTTTCCTCATGTCACTTTTTTGGTGTTAGAGCTGCAGAATCAGCCAGTTTTTCATATGCATAACTAGAAGTTGGAAAAATCTCATGTGCTCACCTTTAGTCTAAATGGAAACTGTGTAGGCGGATTGAAGAGACTCTCATAAAATTAAACTGATTTGAACTGAGTGTGTACATAGAGGGATTTCGCGGAATCACAGCTAGTTACAGAGCCAATCCCGGATCTGTTAGTTTACTCAAGTGTGAAGTGGAACCTTAATTTTCTGAAGTATCACTTTCATCACTTTGTCCTCCTCCTTAAACGCCCAAATTGACAAGGCAAATCCAACTCAAGTACCTTAAAAGTTTCTTCTTCATCACCTACTTTAGTTTGTGGGGGTGGGTGTTAAGATATAAGTGTGCTGCTTGTTTACTTCTGCATTGAGAGGGTGAGTTTGATGGTGGCAGACTTGATCTTGTTCTGGGCCTCCAGGTGCGTCATCCCCTCGGTGCTGACCCCATCAATAGCTGAGATGATGTCACCCTGGGTCAAGCTGCCTCCCGCTGCCTTGCTGCCCGGAGTTATCTAAGGAAAGGGTCAGCAGAGCAGGTCACGCTAGAGCCACTGATACACCTTCCTCAGAAAACTGACAAACATATGCAGTTACACTTAGTACAAATTGACCTGCATTTAAGAAAGTTACAAACACAAGATACGATTCAAACAGTTTGTTCATCTGCCTGCTAATGTTGGCCTTAAACCGCCCAGCCGACGTGTTACTTCCGCTTCCACTGTAGCTGCTCTTTTCACTCAGTTATTAATGCTGTGTGTGTGTAGCGGCACAGTAAATAAGCCTTAAAGTTAGTGGAGAGAAAAGCCGATGAAGCAAACTAAAGTAATCCTTCAGCTCTGGAGATGAGTTATGTTAACTGACAGAGCGTAACCAACTGTTATCTACGAGTCTAATGAGTGTCAACAGCAGAGAAAAAACAGTGAAATAAAAGCAGCAACATTTCAGAGCCACAAAGCGTGCAGAATACTTTTATTCCTGACACTGAACTTATTTCATTGACATGTCTCATGTCGGTTAGAGAACACAGAACAAGAGAGAAAGAGAAGAAGGTCCTTAACAGAGGGATGGGAAGATTTTCTTGAATTTGAATGACAAGAAAAAAGATTTTATTCTTCAGATTATGTAAAGCATTACATCACTTTTCTTTGTCACTTTCAGTTATCCTTCATGTATGACCTTCAACGCAGTATTCCTACTTCTAGCTGTGCAACAAAGCCTCGTTTTAGCTGTTAAACTACACAGAGAGGAGGTTTAAGTGAGCTCAGCGGTCTGGGTTATACAGTATTGGGTCTAGGCTTACAGGCAACTCGTTAAAGAGTTGAAAATAAGCGATGCTCCTGATGCCAGTGATTGACCCCTGTGAGCCCCCTCTCTATCTCTCAAACACACACACACACACACACACACACACACACACACACACACACACACACACACACACACACACACACACCTACTACTGACATTCATGCAAAACTTCTTTGATTGTTCTTTTTTTCTGTTTATTTTAATCATAGCCTCTACAAACTCACTACAAAGCATTTTTTTCCCCCAAGATTTGATCACATTATCATTGGTCTGCTGTGTCTTTTCACACTGTTGTCATGTCTTTATTTCCTCTTTACGTCTGCTTTGTCTGCTTTAGTGTTTCCATTTCAGTCTTTGTGTGTGCGTGTGTGCAAGAGGCCAGAAAAGCAAGGTGAAGGAGAAGTAATATTTCTGCTGCCTCAGTTCAGCGAAGCGCACGACACCACCCAAACAATTCATCACGCATGTTTTCCTTAGATATAACACGTTCATCCTTCAAAATAAGAGTCTTTAAAATGAACGATGAATAATTCATGTGGAAAAAAATGTTACTTGCAGGTTTTATACAGCATGCCAGACTGCACTGAATCAATTAGCTGGACAAATATTAGGCATAATGTTGCTATTGTTAGGTTATTTTTTCCACACGCACTAACGAGAGATGCTTTCATGGTGAGAGATGTTTTCACTCCTTTAGAAATATGTCAGTCTCAAGAGAGCATGCACATAGACCAGAGTGGTGTGGGTGAAACTCTGAGAGAGTCAAGTTTTTAAAACAATTTCAGCTATGGCAAGCACAATGAGAACATTTTAACATCAATATATTTAATTAATAACAATAGATATATAAATAAATATCACTCTTAGTGGCAAGTGCTTTGGCTTGGATAACAAGAAGTAAGGAAATCCAATGTCTTCATTCCTCTTTCCTTTTATTAGTTCTTGGCAAAAGTCCGAAATCCAAACCTCTGCAGTGTTACGTCAAACTGTAATGTCACCCTGAGCTGACATGTCAAGCTGCAGTGTTTTATGTTAACTTGTCAGGACCAATCACAGGTAACCTGAACAAATCCAATGATACAATCTTACCCTGGACACAGATCAAAGCTCCCCTCGCCTGCCTAAGACGGGGATCAGAAGACAATGAAGTAACAGATGTCTGGATCAATATAACAGAGCCTGATTACCAGCTGAGCATCAATCAGGCCTGAGGAATGAAGGGCTCGAGGTGGGAGGGGAGCAGAGATTACTCTCAGGCAAGCATCCACCTCATTCCTACTTTTCTCTGTTATTTCCTAAATCGACCCCCTGCCCATCTGTTTCTCCACAGGAGCAGCTCCAAACGAGGAAACTGAAACTGACCACGAGAAAGCTTACTAAAGGTAACACAAGCTGCCGTTAGCTTCCTCGCAATGCTCGCTGCTTTCCTGTCCCATTCCCAACCATCCATCCACCTCTCCCCTAAAGCTATTTAAAGGGAATGCTGTAAATACACCCCCAGTGGTGCCTGCCAGAGAATCAGAAAGGGAGAAAGTCTCTCTGCTGAACACTAAGTGGTTATAGTCTTTCCTTCCTTTTAACTTGAATTTTAGATTTTGCTTTGTTTTTTTTAAGAAAATTATGCTTGTTATAAGTTCTTATAAAACTTTTTTAACTTTTATTTTAAATAATTTAGTAACGGTTTTGACAGTTAAAATAACTTCAATAGTCACTTGCTTAACTAATGACTTGGATGAGGAAAAAAGTGATTAATCAAGATGAAATGTAGGTATTCTTGAAAATTAGCTGAAGTGTGCCAGCAGCACTCAGCGTTAAGTCAGGCAGCAGTGAAACTATTCCCATCTTTCCACTGCTGCTGTTCTCGAAGTCTCCATGGAGGTTACATCGGAGGCTCCCTACCATCACTGCTTACAGCAACATTACATAACCAAAGCACACACACAAACCACACCTGCTCACACAGATATACAGTATGCGCGTACACAAACACAAGCTAGATGTCAAATATAGTCAGAGCAGGAAAAAATAATCTAATCTGCGCTGCGTAATAAAAGATTTTTAGGCTTTTTAGGTTACATTTAAGGGTTTAAGGGCACTTTATTAAACAGTTGAAGAATGTGCTGTGTGATTGGTTTTCTGCTGACACAACAACAAATAAATAAAAAGATGCTTACTAAGTTATCCAAGCAGGGAAAGGTTACAGAGGTTTTGTTTGAGGGTGTTAATCATTTGCTTACAGTATTGTGAACTGTGTATTTTGTGTTTTATCACCACTGAATTATTCAATTTGCTTTAAGCCAGCCAATCAGTGCACACAGTCTGAGATGTCTGAAGTTTTGGTTTCCCTTTCCAAGCTAATTACAGGCTGTCTCGTTAGTGTCACATTTCTCATTACTTTCTCTTTATGTTGCACAACAAATCTGTGAGGGTCGCTCTGTCCTTACCCTGGAGATGGTGAGGGGCATGTTGAAGTCTTTTCCTCCCTGTAGTCTGAAGCCCCACGGAGCAGGGCCATTCAGAGTCACTGTGTATGTACTCATCTTCGGCTAAATGTCAACACTCCTCCTGCAAACAACTCCTGCTGGCTGCGCGGTTTCCCCTCCTGTGTGCTGTGCCCTTGTTCTCCGTCCTACCCCTGCTATCCTTTTGTCCCGCTCGGTGCCTCGGTGGTTGCTCTTACCTCCCTTGGCCCTGGCTTCACAACCCTTCTGCTCCCAGCTCTCAGGACAAACACCCTGGGGTGGGTGGGTCAGGTGCTATGGAACCACTGAGATACACAAATGGAGACACACACACACGCATATGTTTGTGCACACAGACACACACGTGCAGATAGGTACACACACAGAAGAGTCGGGCTGAGCTACTGCAGAAAACAGTAAAGTCTGACTTCTTACCCCGAAATCAAAAAATATCAATAACACTCAAATGCAAAGTGGCAAAAATGAACATTTAAATTAGTATTAATGTGGAGAAGAGTTTCTTGCCTGTAGGGTTGCTGAGGGTGAGGGACAGACAGCCTAAGAATAGCTGAGAGAGCCAGAGACACAGGGGCCCTGGCCCATATAAGGCCTGTAACACGAAGCCCCAGAATGCTTCACTGCCGATTCATATCGCCAATATAGACCCCTCTTACTGCAACACATTCTCTCTCTCTTTCTGCCTCTCTTTGGCTCTCTCTCTCTCAGTGCTATGAGTACATGCCGCTTGCACTCTATTGTCTGTAATCAGTGTCTGTGGGCTGATGTCATTTGCCTTTCAGGCTCTCAGTCTTTCATTTTGTTTGAGAGAGGAAACAACAAATTACCAAAGGCCAGTTTTCTAGCAACACACCAACCCAGTTGATTAAGTTGCCGACACTCTCTGTGTGTGTGTGTGTTTGTGTGTGTGTGATACAAAGCAATTTAATTCACAACCAAACACAAACAACAGACGTAGGCATTGTTAAATAGGTCGTGACAGACTGCATGTTTTTCTAATTTCACATACCACATCCCATTATTTTTGTGAATCAGTTCTGAGTCACACACCTTCAAACTGGCAGGGTTTTTGCAGTGGTGTGAGACTAAACACCTGGTTTCATGTGCATGTGGTGTGGAAAAACAGCAATAAGTGAAGTTGAGCCAGCCTGGCCAATCTACTCCTCGAGGCAGTGCTCAGCAGTGATTATGGATTCACCTTGATGATCAGAGAGGTGAGAAAACTCACACCCAATTCAGAGCTATGGAACCCTGTGAGAGAGTCTCCAACTTCAAATACCTCGGTGTCCACATCACGAGGACCTCACTTGAGTACACACGACTCCTCATTAGTAAAGGCAGACAGCGCCTCTATCACCTGAGCGTCTAAAGAGGTTAAGATCTCCAAGAATATACAGGAGATTCTACACTGGTGTCATTGAGAGCATCCTGTGCAACAACATCATGGTGTGGTACGGGAACTGCACAGTACAGCAACAGAAAGCCCTGCAGAGGGTTGTGCGCACAGCTGAACGCACTATGGGAACATCTCTACCAGCACTGCAGGACATCTATGCTGAAAGGTGCAGATCCAGGGCCATCAGGATCATTAGGGATTCTAGCCATCCCGCCCACAAACTGTTCAGGCCACTGAGGTCAGGGAAGCGCCTCTGTAGCCTGAAAACAAGAACAGAAAGGTTCAGGAGGAGTTTTTACCCACAAACTGTGAGACTCCTCAACCAAAACACAAACCGGACAACATGATGGACAATCTCACACACAGTACATAATTTGCACTTTATCTTTCTTCTCTGAACCTTATCCGTACCTTATTATATACATCTGTACTATGTAAATATGTATATTTTTATAGTCTTCTCATTCAAATCATTACAGTGCAATATCTTGCACGTCATGGATATATATTTATAAGCACAACATATGGACTTTACATTGTTTTTTATATTTTTTTACTTTTAACTTTGTTTCTTTTCCTTTTTTCTTAGCTTATGTAAATCCTTTTTAGCATGTTTGCACAGTCGGGGAGTACTTTTTAGCCAGAAAACATTTCACTGTATGTTGTACAGCTATAACTACATGTGACAAATAAATAAAGAATTGAATTGAATTGAATGATACTCGCACAAATCTGTCAAACATTTTTGACACCACTTGATTAAATCATATTTCTTAGTCATGTATGTGGCGTGGTCACATACTGGGCCTCTCTGATAGAATTAGAGCACAATCACGCCTGGTTTTAATCTATCCCAGACACCTGTCCAAAAAAGAGAAATAAGATATTTGAAAACAGCTGAAAGTTTTGGGCTCACATTCAGTTCCAGGGAAGAGTTTTCAGTCAGCGATCTTTTATTCCTATACTGCCACCAGTATACGGTGGTCAGAGGGCCTAACTCTGGCGGGCGGTCTGGTGCCTATACCTGGTATAGGCACCAGACCACCCACAACCCTGATAAGGACAAGCAGAAGAGTATGCATGCATGGATGGATGGATGTCCTCAATGGGCATGGAAGAGACACTAGAGTTTAAGTATACTTATCTCAGAATAAAGCTCAATATACTGGCTTTTGCAGCATTTATATAAAAAAATTAAAGTGACCTGAACACACACTTTTTTTCTGGAGGGGTTCTCACTGCCCGCTGTTGTTATAAATGTATTTTTATTCATTGTGTTTTTAGAGTACTTTACACCAAAAGTGTTTTTATACTGTTGTGAAGTGTTGTTGGCTGTGCAGTGTGTCTTAAATGCCGCTGGAGAACGTTCTTGTATTTGGAATGGGTGAATGGGATTGGCTAGTTTGTCATGCAAATGTGTGTGCATTTATGTATTCTATTATTTTCTTGATGTGCATGAGCTGTAAATACACTTGTTACTGTATAATTAGTGCTTATCTACAGTGTGATGAATCCTATGCATGTGTCAGCAATGAAAAACAAACTGACTAAGAATGTCTCAGAGGAGTGTGAAACACACACTCACATGAGTGTGAACACTTTTCGGAAATTACTTTCCTGCAATGAATAACAAGCATGATCACATAGCAAAGATGTCATTGAAGCTCATTTGTTCTGTTTGTTTCTCATACCACTTATGCACAACAGCTTACAGACACACATTGAAGGGCACCATTAAGAGACACCTGAGAGATCCGACACACAAGAAATTCTGGGCAAACTGGACAAAATTAAGTCTTTAAGTGGAGTTAAAATGAACAACACAGAGGCTGTATACCAGACGGGATGAGCAGGCTCTGTTTACTAATCAGAGATCCTTCAATATGTCCAGAAAATGATGGAGATTTTCTGTCAGTCTGTTGTGGTGAGTGCAATTTACTTTGCTGCAATCTGCTGGGAGAACAGCATTGGAGCTGATGATGCCAACAGACTTAATAAACTGATCAGGATTAGCAGTGATTGGCTGGACAGTAGACACTTTTGAAGCTGCGGTGCAGAAGAGGTCACGGAACAAACTGTTGTCCATCATGCATAATCTTGACCACCCACTGCACCACCTAGTGGACAGGCAACAGAGTACCTTTATTACACCATGTCCTGTTCTGGTAACTGTCCACAGGGAGATCCCCGGAACTCTTTTAACCCACATTTAATCATTAATTTCACTTAACATAAGAATTTCACAAATATATGATATATAAAGTATCCATCATCATCATTGTCATCTTATGTTGACTTAAGTAATGTGTTTAAAGACAACTGAAATTAAACTGAAAAAAGACTAACATGGGCACATGGGCATATTAATGCATGTGAAATACCTTTAATATCTTACAAACGTTTTGCCTTTTGAGACCAAGTTTTTAAAACTGAATAAAACCATCTGACGCTTGGAGATTTAACAAACTGAACAAAATCACTTCAGCACTTGGTGATGGCAATTTTTAAGAGCATATGGTTTACTATAAGAGTTAAGACATACTAAGTTTAAAGATCACAAAACCAACCTTCCAGAATTTAGCGAGATCTTTTATTTAGAAAAATAAATAAAAACAACACAAAACATTTTATACAAAGAAAACAAATTTACCTTCACTTCATCAAAGCAGATTTTAAAGTCAACATATTTATAATATTTACATTTTTCATGTCATAATATTTCAAATATGTATTTTTTTTAATACATTCATTAACAGATACTACAAGACAAATGAGCAATAATGAAAACAGATTTTAAAAAGTCTTGCATTTTTAGCTAAGATTTGAATCCGCAATACATTATTTGACAGAAATGACATCAAGAGTTAGATTTTATGCTGAGGCATGAAGAAAAAGGTTTTTACAATCATAGTCAATGATGCAGCAACCTGAGGACTCTCAAAAGGAACTGGACACGTATGGAGGTGGACAAACAGTGTTGTATTTGTGAGATAACGGTACTAAACTAAAGTGAACTAAACATGTTTAGGGGAAAGAATGATTTCACAAACTGTCACCTATACATCTATATGTTAAATTATGGCATCTGGGGTGATGCAAAATACACTAGGACATCCAGTACACGTGCAAACACGCTCATACTGTGTTGTTGGGTGACCTGCTGTTCTGTTGTAACCCATTTGTGACCTGCTGAGTATGATCTGTATTGCTTGATGTCACCATGAATGGAAAAATCAATGACAAAGTTACTCTTCTCTTCTGTCCTGTTACATGTGTGTATATGTGTGTCTGATTGCCAAGTCTAGAAACATGTCAAATAAAAGTTTTGTTACTTGTTTTTTAATGTTAAGTCAGATAAAGATGTAATCAGTGGTACAAATCCAGCAGGTGCATTTTAATTTGTTTTTTAATTAATCGGTTTCTAATTTAATCCTTCTAAGGCCATGTCCTTGTGTGCAATCAGATGGGTTCCAGCACTCCTGCTACATTCTGTCCCCAGAAATCAAATTTTGATGGCCTCGAGACAGCAGACCTCAAATTCTGTGCAAAACTAAACTAGCTATCATGTGGAGAAGGTTGGCATTTAAATAGTGCTTTTTAAGTTTCACTAACCACTCAAAGCACTTTACACTACAAGCCACATTCAACTTTTCAGACTTGGTTGTACTACCCCAATGACTTTGTGGTTGCTAGCAATTGTTAGGTGAAATAAATTGTTAAGAGGGTTTTGATTGAAAAAAACCTCCTTGTTGCTGCTTTGCGCTGATTTGCCTGCAAACACTTGCTAACTAACAACCATGTGGCAGTGAACCTTATAATGCAAACGAGAAACAAAGAATGTTCATCTTCAAAGTTAAAGCTGTGCCTTACTGTTGAAATCAACACGTTTCAAAAGTTACATCTTTGACTTAAAACTGCTAGCAGTTCCTAGGAGGTTTTCTTGCAGTACCATATATCTCTGTTCAACCAGTTTCACTTAACTGGTTGAAAAGTAGGTAGGTATTCTCTAACCTGGCAAGTATTTGCCAGGTTACTTATTTTGCTCTTCCATTGGTTGCCAAACAGTTGTTAGCAGTTTCTCGGCGTGAGGCCTAACTCAGCAGATTTGGCTTTT